ATCCCTAACGTTCTGGGATTCTGTGATTCCATACCACCTACTGCCATGCTCAGCAAGAAAAACTGAGGTAGGGGAAGAATGGGGAAATAAGATCCACCCTGAACCCAATATTGCTAAAAATCTTCCCGAGGACAACTTGTCAGTGATAAGCCACACAACAGACTGGAATGGGCAACTTATTAAAAGCAATTTTTTCCAATGTTTATGGTCAAATATATGTAAGGTGCATCATATTCAGTGCAGGGAAAACACATTATTTCAACCAATAGAAGAAGATCTTAATTCTCACCAAAACTTTTAGGTTCCATCATAAAGAAATCTCACAGCTTTTCTTCCCTTCCCACCACCCCCTCAAAATCCTCAACCCAGCAATAAAACCAACAAAACCAACCCAAATAAAAAACCAACATACCACACTTCACCCACGCAACCGGTCAAATAAGACCAGCACGTAACATTACGGTATCTTAGTCCTAATCTTTATTAACCAACACACCTGATCCAAAGTATCCTCCAAAGTCATTTTCCGGTCATTAGCTTTCCTGATTTCTTCCTTAGTTTGGTTTATGATCTCCATAAGAGGAACCTATAATACACATACAAGAACATCCAGCTCATGCAGTTTGTTAGTTTGAACTAAGATGTGCCCCAGTACGTCTTTTCCCTCTCTTGTTTTTATTTATGCTGCTGTACCCTCCAGTAACAAATTTCCTTCCCGTACTATAATGCAGTTAAGGCAATGCTTCACATAAGCTCTACAATGAAGTTTCATGGAGAGGTTGAGACCTTTCCAGCATTTCCATAAAGACTTTCTTGGTGAGTGGTAACAGAAGCATCAAGTGTTGACTCTGCTTACCTTGATCTGAGTTCTGTATTTGACCAGGCAACTTGGTCCCGCCAGAGGATTAAACTGAATCTCAAAGTCGTGGCCTTTGGAATTCTCAGCACCAACTGGAATTAATTTCAGCTTTCGAGCCAGTTTATGATACTCTGCCAATTGCATTTCCACCTGTCACAGGAGAAAAGGGCAAAAATCGTAGAAGAATTCAAGTGAAGTGCTTTACCAAAGGCAGGTAAAGCCTGCCTTTAAACAGGTTCCTGAGCTGCTCTGTAGAAACACGATTCCAAGTCACACCACAGTATGCAAGAGCTGCAGGTACTGACAGTCCAGCAGTTTGCACTGTTTGGATAACATGCTGTTTTATGATTCTTTCAGTGTTTACTCTGGGAGGTTTCTCAGCGTTCGCGGGTGAGACTGAATGGTTTCACCTGTCATTTTCCCTACTCATCTGCCATATTTTTTCCTGCCTCAACTTTTTAAGGATCAGTTGATAGGGAAGGAAAAACATGTTTGGAAATAGTACAAATAATTTAAACAATGATCAGTCATCATGCTGATATGCCTTCTCCCATTGGTTTTGACAGGAAATGCCACATAGCCACATATCCTGATACCAAACTTTAAATTGAGCACACCTCTAGACAAAGCTTATTAACGAGTGCCACTTATATGCAAACGCCAAACAACAGCAGTATTTTTTCCAGTTTATGTGCTTTATGTGCACAGTATGAGGAATTGAAGTTAATATAAAACGCTTGATAAACCCTGCCAAATGCAAAACATATTTGAAACTTTTCTGAGTTCTCCATCTAGCAAAGGAGAAGCTTTTAAACCCCAGGACCACATCTTCAAATTCTATTTGAGGGAACTGAATTTGACCCTTAAAATCTATTAGAACAGAAGGGACCAATCTGGCCCTAAATGCATGCAGAGATACCGAGTCAAAGAACTAGGTTTGCATTACTCCCTTGCTATGAAATTGTTATGGTTTAAGGGTTACCAGCCTGAAAGGGAAGGACAGGTGGTGACTGTAGGATCCTGGGGGGGTCAGAGATCAGTACTGTTCCCTCCCCTTTCTGGCCACAGTCTCTAAAAAACCGAGGAGGCCCGAGGTTTTCATGGGCTTTCCTGGCTTCTGGGGTGGTTTTCTGGTGGCATCTCGGGACGGCTGGGCCTAGCTCCACGTGCTCGGCAGCATCCACCACCACCCGCTCCCGGCACCACTGCGGTTCCTGGTGACAGTCACAGCAGCCATGAGGCACTGCTCGAACACTGCCACTCGGGACTGCTGGGATCAGGTTTTGTATAGAGTTAAATATCCTTTGTCCCTTATTAATTCCCTTTTCCTTTCCCCTGTTATTTTCATTAAACTTGTTACAGTCTTAACTTCCAACCTTGTGTGAAGCATCTTTTCTCTATTCCCTTTTTTTTAATCCTCCCCTGGGAGGGTGGGGGACAATAGAGAGAAAATCCTGCTCCCTGGACTTGCCCTGAGCCCTAAACAGAGACAGAAATCTTAACATTAGCCTGAAATTGCTTCTGTTATCAAAGCAATTCCAAGCTAATGATCTCAAAGCTCTTCATGCTATAACAGCGAGAGCTGAAAATAGAGGAAAAGAATGCATTTCCATGATGCTCCAAACAGAAAAGGGTCCTGTTAAGACATACCTATGCTGTTGTTCTATTACTGAGAAAGAAGTTAGCAATAGCCCAAGTCCCAAGTTTAAGTTTGCATGATGTAAACTGATAGCCACCTCCCAGTGTAGAAGGGTTTTCACATACCGTTTCTTTACCCCTAGCATATTTTAGCTCTTCATTCCACAGCTGACGTTCTTCTGCTTCCACTTCCTTAGTCAGCTTGGTAACCGTCTGCTGCAACTCATTTCTCTCGTGATTTATTCTCTCAATGGCCACCGCTGAGTACTTCTGGTTATCAAAGATGTGCTGGAGCCGGGCATTCTCTCGCTTCATGGCTTCTACTTCCATTTCTAAGTTCAGAAAACATTTGTGAAATGGATGCAAAATACGAGCCCATATATTTAAACCTAAACTCTCTGCATTTTTATGAGTAAATAATATTTGCATTTCATTATTCTAGTGTACAAAAAAATATCAGCCAAAAAAAAAAATCTCTTAATTATCAATCCATTTTGGAAAGTTTATTTGTAGCATCATCATACACCAAGTATTTCACTCTGTCCTAAAGCTGAGAATTACAACTATTTTAAACCTGTTTCTAGCTTCACTATTCCATTTGTGATCAAGGCCTTCTTACCTGCTGTCTCAACTTCCTTATTAACACCTTCCAGTTTTTGATCAAGCATGGCTACATGCGATTCCAGACTGGTCAAATAAGCCTGGTATTTCTGGACATCTGCTTCAAGAGACGATTTCAGGTTTCGTAGAGTTACTCTACGATCCTAGGAAATGGATGGAGAGAACAACCACTGTTCTGTTAAATCAAAAGTAATGCTCTTACTTTCCAGACAAGATGATAGAGTAATTGGTCAACTTCAATACTACAAATATAAAATTAAAGGACTTTAATACATTTTTATCTGTGACAGGTGAATAAAGTTAAGCATCTTTCAAATAACAAAAAAGGCTAGAAGATGGTTTGTATCTCAGTTCTTGGATTTCAGCATTTCAACTTTGATTTGCATTAAGCATTGTATTAAGAAAGTTCTTACTACGTGTAATTCACAACTTAAGTGTAATAATCCACAAAAGGCAGATAAAACTAAGGGCAAGGGAAGCTAGGAATGCAAGCAGCACAGTAGGCAGGAGTCTCAATTTGCCAGCTGCACAGTCACTAAACCATTTGTAAATCCATGATGTATTAAAAGGAGAATTCATCCTTCAAAGAAAACATTTTCCCCAAAATATGTTGTTATCACTGAATTTCACGTTCTCATCCCCCAAGTTCTCATACCAAGACTTTTGGAAAGATAATGTTGAAGTTGAGGACAGAAAATAGAAGGTGGTTCAAGTATTTTATTAATGTTTCAGCCAACAAAAAAATCTCGCTACTTGAAAATATCTGCACAGTATCAAACAAATAGTGACTGAAGAGGCCACAGTAAATGTCTTGTACTATAATGGCATAGAGTCTGTTAGAACCTGTCCTAATTAAAATTTCACAGAGCACTGAAAGTCATTTTCCATTTGGTGTAACATACCATCAGTATCTTTGTCTAATAATGACAATAGTGGTTAAGAATAGAAAATTCATCTCCACCATAAAAACAAGCAGAGACACAATTCACTAACCGGCTCACTTTCCTTTTCTTTTTCTAGTCTTGCAATCTCTTCCAGAAGTCTTTTGTTGTCAGCTGCTAAACATTCTATCTGGGATTCATTGATATTAAACAAATCCCCTGGAGGGAACAAAACATAGGGAGGGAGAGGAAGGTGGTCATAAATTAATCTCAGAGCACGTCATCGCCTCATCTGAATAACTGTGCTTCAGCACAGTGAATATCCATTATCTGGACAGTTCTTTGAAATTAAAACAAACCCCAAAAACCAAACAACAAACCCATCAAAAGAAACTTTAATTACAAAGCAAATAGTCAAAAACCCCCAAAACATACAGGAAAAGAAATTAGTTTTTCTGTCATGTCCTAAAAGAGCTCAAAACCTTTCCTGTGAGGTCAGAGTTTCCACACTCATACAGCCCACACTGTAGGATAGTGCTTGTTAGAGGAGTCACATCTGTTCCAGCTTCACAAGGCAATCTGGTTTGTATGCTCCTTTCTCATCCACATCCTTTGTTGTCTCCTGAGACACCTTTTCCCTTCCTTCTCTAAGTCTTTGCTAAATAATGCAGTAACAATCTGGTAGTTGCTGTTTCCTCTCCAACTGATGGTGCCAGCTTGCGACAGAAGTGTCCTTAGCCTGGCTTTTCAGAGGGCACGGAAAACCTGTTTGTATTTCTGGAGATGATGAAATGAATGAGTCAGAACAATTCATAGTCTGTCTCACGAAAACTTACTTAATTTGGACTGCACTTCTGCATCCAATTCTTCAAAAGTATCTCTCCCGTTCATGAACTGCTCATAGCACTTCACAACGTAGTCCATGAAAAGCTGAAAGCAGGTTAAAAAGTTTTCATGTCAGAGATTTCAAAGGGCTGTAAAATGTGGAAAGCTACTCAATCAACCTTTTTATATAATGCTACTATGCTTCCTAGAGAATTCTGTGAATATGAAACTAACAGAATATATAAATACAGGTAAATTGTTGTGTCATATATTTAAACTGTGTTGTTACAACATATGGCAAAATTCAGTTGAACAATTCTGACAATAATTTACTTTTTACGGTACCTTATGATGTACAACTCCATCATCCATCTCTCCTCCCCAGTTCTGTCCATCATCAAACGACGGCGCATTTTCCCTCACAGCAGCATACAGCTGAAAGGCACAGGCACACGTACAGAGAGCAAGCGTGAACATCCCCAGCAGTTTTCATCTCGGTCTCGCGCTCGTGATAAGAAGCACAGTAACACTGGATCAGGACTGCAGCAAGCAGTGTCATGGTGCTGCTACAGAACGTGACCAATCGCATCAGGGCTATGAGCCTGTGTTTTGTTCGTTAAAGGCACGGGTGGAGAGGGTGGATTCACTCAACATTCCACACTGCCAAACTGCCTTGCTAAGCCCAACGCGTCATGCATATTTTCAGCAGAAAGGATGGGATTTTCATGTGTGTCCAATTCAGCAGTGGTGAAATTCCGTCACAGATTTCCAATTTTGGTCAGCCCTGAGCGGGCAGCAGAGTTACCACTCAAAACACCAAAAAGACAACAACAAAAAACCCCAAAACCAAACAAAAACCTACCCAATCTCCCCCCGCACAACAATCACAGGACACTTGAATAATTGCTATTGAAAACTCCATCCTTAGGCTCTCAATTTGGAAAATGTCAGATGGCACAAGATCTGCACTGAAGATACATGATACCCGTTCACTTTTCACAGCTTTATATAAGTTATCATTCTACCCCCTTTTCTCATACACAAATTTATCTAGTGCATACAGTTTTAAAAAAATAAATCCTAATGTAACATTAAAAACTCAGTTTAAAAGTTACTAAAAGTAAGGCTAGGGGCTAGCCTCCAGATAGCAGGTAAGAACACCTACCATTTTCCTTACATAAGTGTCAAACAAAGATTTTTAGAAAGCATTGAAGAGATCAGTATTGAAACTAACATTCCAGCCTGAAAAGGGGAAATATTTGGCTTAAAGAAGACAAATGCTACCTTGACACAATCAATCAACCAAACCAAAGCTGCCACGATCTGAGGCCACGTGTGTGGTGCTCCCACTGTGTACATGGAGCTTTTTGACAAAGGAAAGGGGTACCTACAAGGCAAAAGACAGGACATTTTGAATAGCTGTGGCAAACGCTGATGGAAACAAAACAGCACATTTTTATATCTAGATCAAGGCACAGACAGAAAAACAAAATTCTGCTTTATACTGTACATCAAAGGGACATAAGCTGAGTTCTTACAGAACTTTTATTTAACTATCATGGTTTTCTCATTTTGCGAATCACAGAATCACAGAACGTTAGGGATTGGAAGGGACCTCAAAAGCTCATCCAGTCCAATCCCCCTGTCGGAGCAGGAACACCCAGATGAGGTTACACAGGAAGGTGTCCAGGCGGGTTTTGAATGTCTGCAGAGAAGGAGACTCCACAACCTCTCTGGGCAGCCTGGGCCAGTGCTCTGTCACCCTCACTGAGAAGAAGTTTCTTCTCAAATTTCAGTGGAACCTCCTGTGTTCCAGTTTGTGTCCGCTACCCCTTGTCTTATCATTGTTTGTCACCAAGAAGAGCCTGGCTCCATCCTCGTGACACTCACTTTATATATTTATGAACATGAATGAGGTCTCCCCTCAGTCTCCTCTTCTGCAAACTAAAGAGACCCAGCTCCCTCAGCCTTTCCGCATAAGGGAGATGCTCCACTCCCTAGAATGTCTCCAGTGGAAGGGACCCATAAGGATCAGAGTCCAAGTCCTGCTCCTTACAGGACTCCTTAAAACTAAACCAGATGACTAAGAGCTACTTGAACTTCAACAGGCTTGGTGCCATAGCCACATCCCTGGGGAGGCTGTTGCAGTGACCGACCACTCTCACAGTGAAGAGCCTTTTCCTCATGTCCAGTCTGAGCTTCCTCTGAAGCAGCTTTCCATTTGCTTGTGTCCTGTCGCTGGTCACCAGAGAGGAGATCAGAACCTTCCCCTCTGCTGCCCTCCTAGAGGAAATTGTAGACTGTGGTGAGGTCACCCCTTACCCTTTGGTTACAATCATAGAATGGTTTTGGTTGGAAGGGACCTTAAACATCATCCAATCCAACCCCTGCCATGGGCAAGGACACCTCCCACCAGCCCAGGCTGCTCAAAGCCCCATCCAACCTGACCTTGAATACTTACAGGGAGGGGGCATCCAAAACTTCCCTGGGCAACCTGTGCCAGTGTCTCACCACTCTCACAGTAAAGAATTTCCTCCTAATATCCAGTCTAAATCTCCCCTCTTCCAGTTTAAAACCATTCGTGCTCGTTCTATTGCTACCTGCCTTTCTAAAAAGTCCCTCCCCAGCTTTCCTTAGGACCCCTTCAGGAACTGGACAACTGCAGTAAGGTCCCCCTCAAAGCCTTCTCTTCTCCAGGCTGAAAAGTCCCAACTCTCTCAGCCGGTCCCCGTAGGAGAGGTGCTCATCTTTGTGGCCTCCTCTGGACCCGTTCCAACAGCTCCATGGCCTTCTTATATTGGGGGTTCCAGAAATGGAGTAACCAAGTAACCTCAGCTTGCCCTCCAGACCTTTCTCCATCTTGCTTGCCCTCCTCTAGACACACTCTAATAGTTGGATGTCATTCTCATATGGAGGCACCCAAAACTGCACACAGTACTCGAGGTGGAGCTGCACCAGTGCAGTGCAGAATGGGACAATCAGCTCCCTCGATCTGGCAGCTATTGAAGAAATGATTGAAGAAATGGACTTTCTTTTTGCATATGCAAAGATTAGGAACAATAGAGGTCTCAAACAAGAAAACCATAAACTATTCATAAACTCCTTAGCCCCTTCCTATCCAGCTTCGTGTGTTGCCTTGGTCTTGGTAGCAGCCAGATCTGTCCTTCCCCTCCTGAAGCTACGACTGGAGGAGAGCTGGGCACTGCAGGAAAGGACAAAGGAGTGGGCGCCCTGTAAGCACGAGGTGATTCAAGGAACAGATTTTATTTCATCTTTAGTCTGAGAGCTGCCTAAAGTTATTTGAAGAACACAGGCTAAGAAGCTGGTGATAAAATGACAGTTCTAGAGATGCGCTCATGAGTCATACAAAACTAAGAATTTAAAAAAAAATAAATCATTATTTAGGTCCATTTTCTAGCTCTCAAAAGACGACTTAACGTGAGCTCTCAAAAGATATCTTTTTATCCTAGGATTATTCTCTTTGTGCAGCAGAGTAAAGCCCCTTGAGAGAGACTTCCTTTTCAATGCTTCAGCTCGGTCAGCAGTTTCAAATACTACAGGTTAAAACAAAATTTTACTAAGATATCAAGAAGTGAACAGAACAGATTTATACATCCATCTAAGGAGCCCTGGTGCTTTGACACCACGATGGGCTCAAATCTACAGAAGGAAAATATGCTTCACTAATTTTTTTTTTAAAATAAGACTGAAAATTCACCATTATCAACAGGCAGAGGAAATTCTTTCTTTCCTGAAAAGTGTTGGTGCATTAATGATTCCAAACACTTACTAAACAAGATTACAAATAAGACACCTAGCTACTTAGTGTTTTTCTTCACCTCAGGAGTAATTTGTGTTATTTCCACCCCCTGCTTTGAAAGCAGAGTGAAAGAAATTGCAGGAAAAATTATTTTGAACAGAATGACCTGGATCCAACGTTCTGAAACTGTTTTTTAGTTCTTGGATTTTAACAGAATGAACCAAAAGAGTCTGTCAACAAAAACGGGTCAGTTTTTCAAGGTCTAATACAAACAAAAATTAATTTTACATTACATAGCAAGCTTCCAAGAGCCTATAGTTCTACAAGTTCAAATACATAACAGAGTAGTGCCTGAGAATCAGAGTCAATTTAGAGCTAAGCAAAAGTGAAAAATTAAATAAAAAAATATCAATCACAGCACTGTCATTTCAGAGTTTCATGTGAATCAGAAGCCTATCCATTCTCCCCAGCTATCACGCAGAATTCTTAGCTTTTACATTTCTGGCTGTATCATATCTATCTAGCACAACAGACTAACATTAATGATCTTACCCAAGCTCTTTAAAAACTCTGGGAATTTCCTCTTCAAATTTTGAGTCAGGCAGCTTGTAAGAAGGGCAGAGAGATCCATAGATAAAGGTGAAGATTTTTAAGAAGTCCTTAACTGATGGAGACTGTAGTGATTTCAGGGAAACGCTATGGGCATAACCTTTCTCAACAAGAAACTGAGAAAAAGAAACATGGCATAGTAGTCACTCAATAAAATCTAAAGTTGAAACCATGAAAAACAACTCTTTTGATTAGTATCTCTTATACCTAATAATGTCTGTTTAGTATCAGTTCATCAGTTACCTCACAAAGCTGCTTGATGCATTGCTGGATGAATGCCTTGTCATGAAGAGGCCTGGGATCCTTGATCTTTTCTGTACTGAACACACCACACTGACTGTCCCGTGAACATCCAGCCCCACTGGTTCTAAGAAAGAAAAAGAAATGCAGTTCTTGTGACAATGCGATGAAGATCTCTCTTAATGGTTACATCACTACAGTTGCCATTTTTATGTTTTTGTGTTTCATTTGTTATGCTACGGGATGCCTGAAGGTTTCTCTTGATTTACGATGATTGGAAAACCAACAGCAACCTGGAAGCCACGATGCACATATACAACAGAGGGATTACTGCATCTTAGATGAATGTTTTCTTCAGTTTATGGTAAGAAATAAAGTTTTATAAAGCAGAAGAGTACCCCAAAGATGAAGCAACAAAATTATGTAGGTGATTGAAAAGAAAGACTAAAATATTGAAGGAATATTTAAAAGGAATAGGTTCCTGCGACAGTGGGGTCCTAGAAAAGGAGACACCTGCAAGACATCAGAACACAGAGAGGCCTGAACTAAGCTGAAAGGTTATAGAATTTTGGAACACTTGCATCTTAGAGAAGAAACTAAGGCAGAGAGTACTGGAGGTATCCTTATTCCTTCAATAGGCAAATGTATTGAGAAGCTCTTCAGTTCTGCAGTGCATATAATTCCCAAGATGAAGAAAAGCTCTCAAAGCAATTCTTACTCCACATCATTATTTTTTAGTGGTCAAATTGTGGAGAAAAGCAGACTTGAAGGTCTGCTGCTCTCAGATCCATTATCTCCTATAAAGAAAATCTGTCAAGATAGAAAAATTACAAAAGTACGCAGGATTGTTGTTTTAATTTACAGTCCAGAGATCTAAGGTTATCAATACCTCTTCCCAAAAAAGCTGACTTTTCTTTCTGAAGTTCCAGGTGTAGGTCTGCTCAGGCTTAGCTTCCCAGCCATACCTTCATCCTTCCTGAGGGACGGGGAGAAGAATTCAAGTTACTGTTTCTACCATTTCATCTTCTGCTCACGTAAGAAAACTAGAAACACACGTGTATCAGCCTCAGCACCTTCGGCATAGCAGCATCGTAGGAAAGTCAACTGATTTTAATGCATTCTCCATTATTAAAACTACTTCTACAAGGTTTTTGAGTATATATTTTACACACACGCACACACATCCCCAGCCACTCCCAAAGAAATATGTAAGAAAAAGCATTGTAAGTTGAAATGTGTCGTGGGTATAAAAATAGATTAAAGAAGCACTTGTGCAGACATCCTTGGCTGCAGGGAGTTTTCTTCTCGCTGCTCCCATTTGTTTTTCAGTTGCTAGTCACACAGTCAAACGCACTACAGTAAATCCCTTCAGAGTTAGTTTCATAGACTTATTCTTAGCAAGATGATAGGCAACACTTACTTCTGAGGTGTTTGAAGACCCATCTTGTTGTTGTCCTGCACTCTCAGTGCCATCATAGATTGCCGATCACTGTTTCTCGCAGTGCTTGAGCTTCGCCTCATTGTGACTGATCTGTAAATAACAAACTGTCAGCATTGGAAAATCCAGAATCGGAGAGCATTTGCTTTTTTAAACACCACAATGACTCTCTAAACAGTCAGAAGAAGTAAGCAGAACCGTACTTTGGACTAACCAGTTCAACAGTTTTCAGAAATATTGGAAACTTAACAAACAATAGTAGGAAAATAAATCATGTATGTCAGACTTCACAACTATTTAGCAGCAACCACAGCCTTTCAAATGAACTCTTCTATTGATGAAAGTGCTGGTACTTGTTCCAAACCTACTGTTTTGCTTCTCTTTGTATCTGGTCATTTCTAACCTACAGGTTCCAAAAGCAAAACAGTTGAGTTTTTCAGTCCAAGCTGCAAGGCCACACTACCATTACTACTGCTTCTAGCACTTCAGCCATCCATCTGTTCCTTAGCTGCTAATTTTGAGCCTGCTGATTAATTTTGCAAATGATCTTGTTGCATAGATAACAGATTTTTTTTTTTTAGTATTAAACAAAGCGGCTTGTATACAAGAGTAATTGGATCTTCAAAGCAGGAACCAGGTGTTGAGAATGTTTTCACAGAAAGCAACATCATAAGATTAGGAGATCAGCAGGACGCTTGGTCCTGGGAACCATTGCGGAGGATTAGCTGGTTGCACTCCCCATTGAACATACCCTTAGAAAGAATCAGAAGACTGAGAAGAGGCCAATCATCAGCCCAAAGAGCTGACAAACGTTAGACTGTTGCCTGATGAGGATGAAGTCAGCGAAAACTGAAAACCGGGATAAAGGCAAATGCGGCAGGGGAAGATCGCGACCACCGACTCAAGAAACCTCTCGACTCAAAAGAAATGGGGACTCATCAGCACGAGAAGCATGAAACTAACAGACCAATAGAAAGTAGATTAAGTAATTTTGTACCAGTTAATGTACTTTTAGGTGGAGTTTTGCTAATCATGCATTAGGATAAATACAGCGTAGCTTTCACAGGTGGCATGCTCGATTTGTGGAAATCCACCGAGCACCCAGCCTTGCACAGCTCTGAAATAAACAACGTCTCCTCGCTAAACAGACCTTGTGTGTTTCGGGTGTTCTCTCAGTGTCAGGTAACAATCTCAGGGTATCAGAGCACTACAACTGGAAAGCCTATTCTGCAATCATAGTACGGCTATCTTCAGACTACACACAGAATAGAAATAAAACTGGAAGTATTGAACTGTCCCCACAGTGGCATTAAGGGGGAATTTGAGGTAAACAGAATTAACTATGGAAAAAATGCCAACTTTTGCCCTCTACAGATGACCTATTTTATCTGTGCAGTGGGCTCAAATAACTGAACTATTACTAATCAAAAAACTTTCATTACAAACTCTACCAAAACACATGATCAATATAAATTGTGTTTCGTGATCACATTTCTAGTTCCACTTCTGCAAACCATGACAGAAGTTCAGTTTGATCCCACTTCACAGGGCAGTTTACCAGTGACCTCATTTTCTCTGAAGAAGGGAAGTCGTATTCTTCCGTTACTTTATCAGGGGTCCACCACAGAGCAAATAGTTTTCACGGACATACCAAACAACGACTTTAAGAGCAGAGCTTGCTAGAGTCAGCACGCCAGTAGGAAAAAAAAAACCCAAACCACAAAAAAAAACAACCCAAAAAAAGGTAGAAGCGCGGCAGAACCGGGCACACCGACACCCACCTGCGCGGTTAAACCATATCCAAGGCAAACGGAGAAGCCGAGGTCGTTCACCCCCCACCACCGCTGGGCCCGGCACCCTGATAGCCCCGGCGTCCCCCCGGTGCGCGGCCAACGGCTCCCCCAGGGGCCGGCAGGGCAGTAGCCCCACGCAGC